ACAGCTCAGAAAACTGTGGCAGGAGTCTGGATAGGCAGACTGGTGAAACCTGCGATTGTATACAAACACAATATAATGTCCTGCTCACCCATCCTCTTCCTCTTCTACAACGCAAACCTCGTCGCAGGGAAGATGGCGGACCAGTCGGGAACCATGGCCTTCGTGGACGACTTCACGGCGTGGGTTACCGGCCCAAACATGGGAAGTAATATCCGGCGAATCCAGAGTCAGGTCCTACCGAAGGTTGAAAAATGGAGCCAGGATAGCGGGGCACTGTTCGAACCGGATAAGACCCAATTTATCCACTTCACGAAGCGTTTAAGACAGGACGAGGACGAGCTCCAGCCACTGGTATTTATGGGTCGCGACGTACCGCCGGCCTCGGACGTCAAACTCCTGGGGGTAGTAATGGACCAGAAACTTGGGTTTCAATCCCACGCGAGGAGGGCGGCCAAACGAGGCGAAAAAGCGGCTATGGCACTCCAGAGGTTGAAGGGGCTCACCCCGAAGGCAGTCAGGCAGATATTTACAGCGACGGTCGCGCCAACCACCGACTATGGTGCTCCGATCTGGTTCCCAGGCTCCGCAGGGACAGTAGCCCGTCATATCGAGAGGGCCACCAAACTGGGGGCGAGCGCAATCACGGCCATCTTCAGGTCCGCGGCGTACGACGTGGTAACTGGTGAGGCCGGGATTGAATCAGTCCAGGATAGGCTCTACGAACTAACGAGGAAACACTGGATTAAGATGCATACGAAACCACCGAACCACTATAGCTGGCGACTTATCCGACGCCTACACAAAACTGAAAGGCATAGGTCACCTCTTCCAACACGTCAAGCTAGATACGCTCGAGAAGGTAGAGGCGTTTGTTAAGCCGCCATGGCAAGACCCACCTTGCGTTGTAATCAACGAGGAGACGATTGCAATCGGGAAGGCCACCCAGCTCGGCCTTAGAACCATTTTCACCGATGGATCATGTCGGAACGGCCTGGCGGGTATTGGGATCTATGCCCCGAATATCCCACGTCTCCGTAAAGCTCGCACAATAGGACTAACACCAGGCGTCGATGCCCTTTATGCAGAACTGACCGCCATCTCGGAAGCCATCTCGGAAGCAGCCGTTAATATCCCCGCGCTAGGCCTCGGCCTCGACCACTGTTATATCTTATCGGACTGTAAAAGAGCCCTCGACATGATCAAGACGCCACAGTGGAAAAGGAGTGGAACCCTCCAAGAGATCTTCCGGAAACTTGCAGAGACAAAGGAAAAGGGATTCACGTTCACCTTCCATTGGGTTCCGGCACATAAGGGCGTCCCCGGCAATGAAGAGGCACACTCCCTTGCCCAATCCGCTACCTCTGCGGGATCGCAGCCGGAGGGTACACTGAAGTACTTCGACATGTAATCCGGCAAGGGCGAAGACAGCAGGGAGCGAAACGCACGGCTTTCCTGGCCAGGAAGACAGGGCGCTTCGTAAAGGCACTCGACAACGCACTCCCAGGCAGACATACAAGGAAACTTTACGACAACCTAACGAGAGTCCAAGCAGCGCTCCTCGTCCAAGTCCGATCAGGTTATAGCCGCCTTAACGGCTACCTCCACAGGATCACGAAGGCCGAAAGCAGCGCCTGCGAGTGCGGGGTAACTGAGACCGTCCGTCACTTCATCCTTGAATGCCCGATATGGGAATCTCAGAGGCGGCAGATAAGGACAATAGCTGGACCCCGAGC